GCAATAATGGTAAAATAGAGTGACATTTGAATTTAAGTATTTTTCCATCGGCAAGCAAAGGAACGTATAGTTTGTCTAAAGTAAGAACTCCCGTAACCATTCGTCTGGACCCGTGGCGGTGACTATGGTAACGAGGTATAACTATTTCAAGTAGTGATCGGCGAGAGAAAGGGAATATTTTTCTTCGGTCTTTTGTGTTAGCCCTAGAGTGAAAAGGAGCTAACCTCCCTGAAATGAACTATTCTTGTTTCCATAGCAGCAGACTTTTTGCCGGGGAGAGTTCTTACCGTAGACAAACTATATATCACCTCGACGAAAGATGAGTATGGGGATGATTTGGACCTCACGTTTTACCAAGGAAATGCTTCAGCTCCCTTGAAGGAAAGATTTTTTTTTCCTTCATATTAATAACAAAAGGATCTTTCCGAATATTTTGTTTCTGATGGAAAAAAAATTAATCAAGCAGGTGGGGTGGTTGTTCGATTCTAAGAACTTACATGCGGTTATGCTGTGACCTACGACCTCTTTGTTCCCTCATTGCCCTCAAATGGGACAAAAGGAAAGAAAAAAAGACTATTTTCCTTTGAGAAGAGTAAACAATGGGAAAAGGGTGAACGTTAAGATAAAATTTTATTATAAATTATTCATTTATAATTTATTCCCTAAAAAGAAGATTCAAAGCAAAATTAATGTCAATTATTTAGTCTTTTTTTAAAATTTATTTCAAAGTTGGTACTTTATTTACGTCTTACTAAAGTGACACATTGGGCTATTGGCGACGGTCTGGGAAACATCCCTGAGGATGATCGGAAGACATGTCATTGCAATTTTGGTCTTCTACTGAGGGGATGGTTCAGGCAGTGTCATAACCAGTGAGGTTCTACAGAAGCATAAGCATGACTATTGCTAGCTGAAAATTTATTTCAACAGAAAATAATCGAGTCGTAGGGCACCAGTTGAAAGGACACATAGGGATAAGTCCCGGTATCCGAGTGGGCCAGTTCGTCTCTGAATGTATCTAAATAAATTCGCAATGTGCACAAATCATTTATTACATATATTTTAAAATTGTCTTTTTTTAATAAGGCTTTAAAAGTCAGCTATTCTTTTAACAGGGTTGCCACGGATCACGTAAATTTGTGTGGTGGTAGCAAGTTTACGTAGTTATAGTTTCGATTTAGAGCCCGCGAACTCCGAGGATTTACGTACTAATACTAGAGTACCGAGTTGAGATCTCGTTCTGTGCGATCTTGAGCAGCTACAGTCAGAAAGGCTCACTTTATACGTATTATGCTTGATCATGATTCTAATGACTAGTCATCGTTTAAAGATCTAAATACGAAGAAATCTAATTGTGCCCTTTAATTTGTCTATAATTTTGAAACGATGTGATTTAGATAAAAGTTGTACAAATATATGTGTTAAGATTATTGGTTAATATTTGGACAAAATGATGGACAATGTATGTTCAAAGCTTTCAATTTGGAGTGGACTAATAGTTGTTTGACATAAAGCTATAGTTTGTCTAAGCTAAGAACTCCTCTCGCCACAAAGTCTGAGGCTGTCTGGTGCTATGGAAACAAGAACGGCGGATTTTCGGGAGGGTAGCTTCACTCTAGAAGGAACACAATAGACCGAAGAAAGAGATTCACTGACCCAAGCCGAAACAACTCCGAAACAGTAACCCCGCATCCCTACTTGAAATAGTCATGCCTCGTTACCATAGTCACCGCCACAGGTTCAGACGAATGTCTAGGGGAGTTCTTATTTTAGACAAACTATACCTATACTAAAATAGCATTTTGAAATGTATTTTTACACAGATAAAAATTGGAGCTTCAAGCTTAAAAACTTAACCTTTAATACACTGGTGTAAGAATTTAAGAGAATTTGAAGACCTGGTCGATTATCTCTAGAACTACTGGACCGATTTTAATGAAATTTGATATCTACTACATACATTGATTCCACGTAAAACAAATAACCATTCAACAATTGTAACACATCGTGCGTAACACTCGTCGGAGTCGGATGGTATGAAATTGTCACCTCACAGGACAATTCATGCCAATTGACCCAGGAAATGATAAACTACCTTATTCCAAGTATGAAATCACGCTACAAGGCCTGTATATCTATAAGAGGGGACCATACCCCCTATTAACCCTTTTTTTTTATTCTGCAAAAATTATATTCATTAAAATATTGCAAATATTTATTAAAAACTGAATTAACTAAACTGATACTCTGAAAAATTAATATATTTCTTTTTGATTAAAAAAAAATCTAGATTTATCGAAGAAAATATAAAAATGGGGGAAAAGTAATAGTTCTCTTATCACATCATTTAACAAAAAAGTTAAAATAAATTATCTGTAATGTTCTGAATCTGAAATGGAAAGATAAAACATAGATAAATATTTTACTGGGCAACATAAATTCGAAATGAATATTTTAATTTAAGAAATTTTATGGGGTCAAAAATGATTTAAAATAAAACAAAACACATTATAGCTAAAACCAAGGTACAACATTCTGTTCGGTATATTTTTTATTTTGGAATAATATAATTTGTAAATTATTCTAGATTTTATGATTGTTAAATCTTAAAACGACTTTTTAAGCAACAAAAAACTGGAACCGAAGTTCAAAAGCAGTAAACAATTTGAAAACCTACATTCAATTTCGTGTTTTGTGTTACCATTGTATTAAAAATATTGATTTTTTTTAGGGGGGAAAAAACGATTGAAAAACTACATTGATTTAGATTTTGCGCCATAAAAACTTAAATGCGCAAATCCCCATCCCTCTAAAAAAATTACAATTGTTCTTTTTATTATCTTCAAGTGCTACCGCGGACCGCACGTCAATTGCTGGCAGGCTGTAGGTTGTGCACTCCTATAACATAATATAGTGTATTATTTCTGGATCATGCATCGTGCTCCCTCAAACCTCGCTCCCCCCCCCCGGCGCAGGGGTGTATTACGCCACTGAAAGGAAATAATTATAGACAAATTAGCTGGCCCCACAATGTGGCACAATATTTAAGTATCGATGTATATATTTCTAAGTGCCCCGTAACTACCCTTAATATTAACATATAATATTCAAACTCAGTTAGGTTTTACATTATAACAGGGGTTTCCAACTTACATGAGGCCGCGGACCACAATTGAAAATATAAATCAAATGGCGGGGCACAACTTTATCAACATTTTATGAAGGACTTTTTTATGTTTGAAAGAACATTAAATATTACTGTCAGATTTTTAATCAGTTGCACAAAACAAAAGTATTGAATTACACATTAAAATAAGTAGATTTTTAAAAATATTTAATTGCTATTAATAATATTTTTAAAAATATTAAATAAATAATAAAAATTCTGCTGTAATATTAAATAAATATAAATATTAAATAATAAAAATATTAAATAAATAATAAAAATTTGTGAAGGTGCCGCTAAACCAGTGTTTTCATTACAGAAAAAATTGTGTTCTGCTGTTCGCACCTGTTCGAAACAATANGGACTTTTTTATGTTTGAAAGAACATTAAATATTACTGTCAGATTTATTAGCTATTAATAATATTTTTAAAAATATTAAATAAATAATAAAAATTCGGGCTACAATAACTTTAATGTGCACCTATGTATTAAACAAATATTGTGCAACAGATATCTAATTGTAAAAATACAAAACTTTAAAAAGGTTGGTATTAAAACTTACATAGTAGCACGCAAATTATTCAATGAGAAAATTGAGATATGTCTGCTGCAACCACCAGAGAACAGATATTTATAATTAAAATTTACAAATGTGTGTGTAAATATTTTCGTCCAAAATGAGTGAGTGGTTGCAAAAAGTTAAATCGGATAATTTCTATGAGAAAATTTCTGATACGCACATGCTAAATTATATTCACAAAATACAAAAAAAAAAAAAAAAAANAATGAAATAAAATAGAGCTACATACACGATTATTTTTGCATTTGAATAAATATTTTTCTGGGTGCAAAACCTGAGAAATAAATATTGATTCGTTACGAAAATTGTCCGCAAAAAAATGACAACTAATATAGTTTAGTTCGCGGGCCACACAAAACGGCTTCGCGGGCCGGATGCGGCCCCCGGGCCGCCAGTTGGAAACCCCTGCATTATAAGATACTATACTACCGTATAGAAGGAAATAATTATAGACAAATTAGGGGCCCACAACATCCGTCGAAAAAAGGCTTGCTTATTTTGTGAAAGTGCGCTGCTTAACTTAAGTGCGTGTAACTTAATTTATGAAATGATTATTTTAATGTAGAATGGACTATTGTTGATTAACTTTATACATTCAGAAAATGTCTACATATAATTTAAAGAAATTGGAATAGCTTAGGAATTATTTTTTTATAATTATGTTTATTTGTATTATTCTGCATTATTAGTTTAAAAATTTGCATTATTTCTTTAAGGGTTTTCATTATTTTAGAGTTTTAATTAATTATTTATATCTCTGAAGCAAATTATATGAAATATGTTTCGATAACTTTTAGATTAGTTTTAAAAAAAATTTAAACCTTTTTATTTTTTAAAATTATTAACAATTTTAACTTGCAATTTTCTATAGTTTTTTTTTTAAATTTTAACTGTAAGTAAAAACATTTTTTTTCCAACTATTTACGGAAAATGTCTCTCGCTAAAATTTTGTTTTAGTTACGTTTACGTGATTTTCTCAAAGATGATAAATTAAAAAAAAAAAAAAAAAAAAAAAAAAAAAAAAAAAAAAAAAAAAAAANATTTTCTTTAAAAGAAACTTTTCAATTTAAAAAATTTGATGGAAATAAAAAATGCGATAAATCTTGCGTCTGTTCCATGATTGAAATTATTAATAACATAAAGCAAATCCCCTTAATTCTCATTCTTCCAAACATTCATAGGTTCATTTTTCCCCTCGTTTCAAACTTCCCAGGTGTCGTTTATCTCTAGCTTCAGGCGCCAAATTGCTCAGCGCCGGTCTTTCTTCATAAATCAGTTCATACCCTTGCTGGATTCAATTGTAAAGTAATCTTGGCGATTAAATTTGGCGATGTTTATCAGGTGGTATCTTTAATAATGTGTTTCTCTTAAGAGCTAATCAAAGTATGTCACTTGTTGCCAATGTTGGCGCATTTATCGTCTAAAGAACGTAAGGAATTTGTTTTAAAAACTTTCTAGTTACACGATACAAATTCTTTTTGAAATCAAGAAATTTTTATGTAATTGTAATTATTAAGCCCTGCTCTTGATTTCTTTATTTCCTTCCAAATAGAATCTCTTTTGGCGGCTTTTAATGACGTCACAAATACTGATAGATTACGCTTTCACTGTCAGTATTTCTTGCAAACATCTTTCAATGAATTGATTGCTCATTGGGAAAAAAAAAAGTACGAATCTCTGTAATGTCGACCTGATCTAACAAAGAGAATAATTTGTTTCTTTGAAGTATTATTCGAAAATTGCTTATTATATTTCTGTTTGAATGTATTCAAAATTAATCCATAGTGCTCCTACAGTAACAACGCATGCGCAGAAAATACGATGAAACCCAAATAAACAACATAAAAATTTTAACTAGGACGTGGAGATGCTTTGTGTTTTATGATGTGGTACAATCTAAATTTACCATGAAATTTTGTTTAGTACGTGAATTTTATTCTATATTTGTTTCCTGTGATCTTAAGAAAAGAATTACTGTGAATGTGACAGATTGGAAATAATGGTTCAGATTGGTCATTAGAAGCTTATGGGACGTTGACTTGTGTCTGAAAGCACCATCGATTAAATGGGAAATTTACCATAGCACGTGTATTTGTTGTTTTTTCTTTGAATGTTGTGTTTATTTTTTTTCTCCGTAGTGAAATCTTTTCAAAAAATTTTCACTTAAAATGTGCCAAACCACTATAACATGAATAGATTTAATTACTACATTGTTATTGTGTTATGAAACATAACCTTCTTTAATTCAAGAAAAACAGCTTTGAAAGTTACTTTATAAAAAAAAAAAATATTGAATTAATTCCGTCCAAGATCTGAAAAATGTGTAATGAAGATTGTAGTCTAGTGAACAGCTTGAAAAGCATCACTGTATGAAAAACAATCTGGAGAAAGGTTCAATTTTTTTAATTTCAAAATTATGGGAGATGTTTTGCCTCCCAAGAGAGAGACAGTTGAGCGTTTAAAACGTCGATTTGAAATTTATCGTACTGTTCACAGTGATCGTTTTCCTAAATACGAACAAAATGCCAATGACAGTCGGGAAACAGAGAGACAAGAGACTTTATTGCTCAGACAAAGGTTTCTGGAATCTAAAGCCAAAAAAGCTAAAAACAAAAGTGATCATCATCGTTCATACAAAGACTCCATATCAGATAGCAACAAAACACCTATGGTAAGTATTATTTGATTTTGCTACTAACAATGTATAGAAACCATGTTTTCTCGGGTTGTCACCAGCACATATATTGGTCACCGTAACCTACAAGTTACAAAATTTAATTTAACCTGATAGTATTAGCTATCATAATTATTTTTGTTAACCAGATTTATACATTATGAAGACAATTTATTATGTATTAATACATATTATGTATTAGATCAGGGGTCTGGCTAGGCCAAATTTACTACCGTTTATTTTCACAAATTCAACTTTAGGAAAAACGGCAGTTTCACAAAATACTTTTTATTATTATTATTGTATAAATGATAAATCCATATTTTTACCATATTTCTGTGTTGATTTTTTAATATAATTTTTAATTTTCACAAATTGTGTCTAAATTTTCACAAAATAGGTACCTCTCAGAAAAACCTTGACAGACCCCTGTAGATTTATGTATCTAAACAATACTATTATGTACCAAAAATTAAATTAAGCTTAAACATTTTAATAACTTTATTTAACTATTTTATTTACAGGGGTCTGTCTAGGTTTTTCTGAGAGGTACCTATTTTGTGAAAATTAAGACAAATTTGTGAAAAATTATATTAAAAAATCAACTCAAAAATATGGTTTTATCATTTCTTAAGGGATACAAAAATAAAATTTTAAGAAAAAGTATTTTGTGAAACTACCGTTTCTCCTAAAATTGAATTTGTGAAACTGCCGTTTTTCCTAAAGTTGAATTTGTGAAGGTACCGCTAAACCAGTGTTTTCATTACAGAAAAAAATGAGAGAGAATTTCTCACCCTTTCTCAAAAATAGGGCGAGATCTCAAAAAGTTATTGTGTTTTGCTGTTCGCACCTGTTCGAAACAATACTAGTAAATAGGGAAGCTGGATAACAAGCATCGATGTTGAAAATAATGAAAGATCAAGAAAGAGAAGTTAAACGGATTCTATTCAAAATGGCAGAAGCCGAAATTTTTCCAAAATTCGCGAGATTCGCACTCTTTGAAATTGATTAATAGGGTGTGCGATCTTCTCACGTTAATCATTATCATTTTTTATCATTTTTTAATGTGAGAAAAGTAAAAAATAAGCGAGATTCTCGCGCTGTACTGAAAACACTGCGCTAAACGGTAGTAAATTCGACCTGGACAGACCCCCGATTTATTTGCCCATCTGCTACTTCTAACATGGGTGGTTACGATTGTTCAAAATAAATAATTGGCACTTAATTCACATGCTTATGAATCTGTGTTGTGTCTAGTTTCCTTTCATGTTAAGTAATAATCAGCATGAAAATTTCATGCTTAACATGTAATACACAATAATAATTGATTGCTGACTCACGGGACCAATTATTTGTTTCATGTTGAGTGGTATTTCACACTGAGCAATTTCTCGTTAATGAGGTTCGACTGTATTTCTAAAAAATATCGATTATTTAAAAATCTATCACAATATTTTTTTTTATCCAAATAAAAATTTTCAGCTATCACAATAATATTAGTTATTTGTGTATTATGACGACCATTTGAGCTAACTTTGCCCCGAAGTCACTTTGGTATCTTCCAAATTTGTTTTTACGTAATGATTTATTACAAAGAATTAGATGTTGTTATCTTGTGTATGCATACAGCGCTAGTGCAAAGATTAGAGTCCTCCAAAAGTCTTGATAACAAGATTTGTAAGATATTGAGTGTCCTCGTCGCAAACTTCTCGCCAAGTGCCCGGACATCAGCTCCTGGCGCGTCGGCTACCCCGGACGCGGTAACATGGTCTATTGCACTATTCATAGAAGAGGGGTGACATTACCTCCGAAAAGATTGAACTTTTGCCTTTTAGTCCGCAGATCCACCCTGTGGTAAACCAAAGGAGGCATTCCCGGATCCGCCACCTGGGGACACGCTCTCTAGGGGTTACAGGCATCCCCGAGAGCATTAGATAAATTAGAGCATTAAAAAGAATTAGAATGCTCCCCTGAGAGCATTAGAAAGAATGAGATAAAATACAAATATAACTTATTATAAAAATATGAGAAAAAATATTTAAATTTGAACGATTTCGATGATAATGGTTGACGATGTTGCAAATTGCAAGTACCTTTTAGTGTTCATTCTAGACCTTGAAAAGGGCAGGGCACTATTTACCCCTAAGAAAGAGCAGAGGCACCTATCATAAAAAAGGGCAGTGTTCACAAATGTTTGCATAACCTTTAAGACATCTAAAATATAAAAAGTTTTTAAATTTATCATTTAAAAAATCTTAACTTTTTTAAAGATAAACTATAAATTAAAAATAATTCCTCAGTTAAATTTGCACATTGTATAAATTAGTTTTAAAATGAGCGTAATTCTCGAATGTTGCATGTCGTAATAATAACTTATTAAACTTGTCAGGATTTTAAAAAACGATGTCAAGGTGAATACAAAAACGATAAGTAATCGCCGAAAAAGTGATTGAAAATTAATGTGGATTTACGATGGAATCATAATGAATCAAACGCATGAAAAAGTTATTACTAAAACATGAAATTCGTTAGCCATTACATCGGAATAAAAAATACCCCACCAGAAAATGGTCAAGAACCAACAAATAGCTGCAGAGAAAGCGATCAATAAACGATGTGGATTTACAATCTAATCGATCAAAATTGATAATGTCAAAAAATGACTCCATCAATCAAAAATCCCGCTTGTCGTAATAACACCGTATTAAAATTATCAGAATAAAGAAAAACAAGTAGAAATTGCCGGAAACAACGTCAATTATCATGAAATCGTCAAAAATCGAACACATTAAAACTTATAGTTCAAATTCGAAATTTAAATGTCGTACTTAATCCTATAAAAATTTAAAAACCATACGCAAAAGACCAATAAAATTATAAGTGATTGCCGAAACAAAATTCCTTTATCATACCTGGAAAATCACCGTAACATCTATTCTAATTATTTAGGGTGCATAGCATTTTTGAAAAGTGCTTGAAGGTGTTTATTTTTAATTTACATTTTTTTAAAAGCCCTTAAAGGTGCTTTTTTTGTTCAGAGTTGTCAATTGTCGTTGTAAAGTACAAAAAATGTGTGTTTTTCACAATTTTTTCAGAAACTAGTTATTTTGTCATGATTATGTCAGGTTTTCGAAAATGTTTTTCAATTTTATTGATATTTATAAATTAAAAACTTGAATGATAGAAAAAAAATTTGTTACTGTACAGACCCTAATTATGATTTTTTTTTTAATTTGGAAAGTGATTAAAAATATTTTTGAGTGCTTAAATAGTACTTAAAAGGTGCTTATTTTTTGTTGAAAAATCTGGTTACGCAACCTGTTATTTGTTCTAAAAATTCACATTTTTCTCAAACTGCCATGTTCCAATCCTTATTCAATGATATATTTTTTACTCACAAAATCTAATATTTGGCTTTTGAAATATAAAAAAATCAAAGGTTTCTGATGAAAAGTTTTTTAGTCTCCTTAACGCATGGATATAAATTTTCATTGAAATTCACCTTATATTCCTGGAAAAGTCAAAGATTTTTTCTTTCTTTTTTTTTTCATGCAATAATTATATAGTTAATTACCAAGAAAAAAAATTCTGTCACTTAAACATGTAAATAATTGGAAGCATTGTAGTTTTTTTATTTGAGAGTGGCTATGGTTTAATCATCCTGCAGTTCTCATTTCTATTCATGATTCTCAACATTTGTTATTTCAAAACTAGATCTTAACTGAGATAATTTTTAAATTCAAATTTTTTTCTTTAGATTTTAAGTAATTTATTTTAGATAATTTATCTTACAAAAGTTTTGTCCTTCTCGGATGCATATATAGCTGTGCTACAATGATATTTGCACAATATGCTTCATGTGTTAATTTAAATTGGTTGTAAATTTTTCAGTTTTTATATATTTATTAGTAATTAATTAAAAAATATAGAGCTTAATATTACTAAGATTTTCAAGAGCCGTGATTGGGTGTAATGCCCATGTTGTAGAGGTGTCTCCTGAGGGTGCAGTGACCAGTGAGAAGACCAATGATCTTCCTCGAGCTATTCCTGTTAAGTTTAAGAAGCTCTTTAATGTACACCAGGACAGTCACGATTTGACTCCTTAGTTTGCCTTTGACCATCATGCTCATTTGTAATTTCTCAATAGAGCTTGAAAAAAGATGCCCTGAACTATGCAGGCGAAATCCTCAAAGCTGGTTCAGGGCTACAGAAAATTTTACTGGAGCCAACCTGTGCTGATTCTTCAGCCAGCTCATTACCAGGAGTACCAATATACCCAGTGTAGGTATACATTATTACGAGTAGAAAGGTCACAAAGGACTGAGAAGCACTCCTTCACTAAAGAAGAGGTGAATTTACACCTTGAACACATTTACACATAGAAGAGCAGCCTGACTCTCAGAGCAGATGTAAATAGGTTTATTTAGATAGTGCACACCCTGCAACAAAAGATTATAGCATAGACTTCAGCCTGAAAAACAGTGGCGTAACTACTAAGAGGAAAGTGAAGTTTGGTATCAACATAGGAACAAATACCTGTCCCTGATTTAAGATCAATCCTAGATCTATCGGTGACTATTGCCCATAAGCCACCTAGGAGATTTGAGCCATTCATCTCTAGAAGTAAAATAGACATTGAAAGGCTTATGAAAAGCATATCTTAGTGACATATAATCACTAGGCGTAATCGAAGAAGGAAGGTCACCTGCAACAGGAGGTGTCCCCATGACAAGTGCTGTATAGAATTGATGACAGTTATACAAGATCTTAATAAATTTAACTTAAATATATGATTATTTTTTAACAATAACTACTTCTTGTTAAATTGTCTTGTAGTCTAAAGGTTGAATAGTGTTTTGCTCATAGTTTTCAAAATAATTCATTAATATAAAAATTAAATTGCATAGTTTAGTATTTTCTGTGTTGAAAATGAAATTTTAAAATTTCACTAAAATATCGACTTTAAAAAAGTTATATTTTTTATTTTTAATAAGAAG